TTTTTTTGTACTGGGGACCAAACTTGGGACCTTGTGCTTTTGAGGCAGGAGGCAGCACCACTGAGCTAAACCCCCGGCCTATTTTTTTTTCTTTTTTGAGACAGGGTCTCCCTATATAGTCCAGGCTGGCCTCCAACTCACTGTGATCCTCCCGCTTCAGACTCCTGAGTGCTGGGATTACAGGTGTGAGCCACCATGCCCAGCTAAATATTAGTGTTTAATTACATCCATGTACATTTGTTGGACCAGAGATGTTACTGGTGGAACAGCACCCTGTTTCTCATATACATAAAGAGATGTCACTATTTTCAAGGGCCAATAAAAGAGCTATTCTGTAAAATTCTTAAAATATCTTGTCTTGTAAATCGGTTTTTCCTTTGGCCTTTCAAAAGGGTTGCTTTAGAAATCTGCCTTCTGAGGAAAAGGAAGCGACATTTTAAAGGCATTTGCTTTTCCTGTACTAGCTGCTAAACGAACTTGCTAGAGCAAAGTCAGACAACTTCAGATACCCGATACCACTGACTAGGAAAGGAGCTTAGTCCTAATGTATTGTACTTCTTTCTTCTTGCTTTATCATTCCTCTTTCTTTTATTTTCCTTCTCCTTTTCTTCTTTCTAAAAGGCCTGTTGAGGCAATCCATTTTCTGGTCCCCCTTCTGTCTTTCTTACACAGAAGGTATCTTCCTCTCAATAAATTTTTCCTACTCTTAAAAAAAAAAAAAAAAGGCCTTTTAATGAAACTTAAAAGATAAAAAGGTTTTTAGCCCCATGGCTGGTGACAAGTAGCAGCAAGTTTTGGCTTTATAACTATAGATAGGTATGTACCATTTTTTTCAGCATACCCCTAGGGTTACTGTTAGAAACTTAACTCAGGAAACACACAGCCAGTGCTTGACATGCCATCAGAATCTCACTGTTTCCAAAACACTGTGAAATTTCCCAGTGACTTATAGAGCAATTCTGAAAGTGAATTCAGAGAATCTCAATCCTTGTGAAGGGGATCTGAAGTAGGCTGCTGGCGGTGGCAGTGGGTGTTAAATGTATGTGTACATTCTTTCATTCCACTTTGAAGTAAGTAGGATTCTGATCTTAAGGAAATGTTTTCCCTATTTTCCCTGGCATCTGTCTTTCTATGCAAAGCTGCACAATACTATACTTATTATTGTGAGAGGGTAGGAGAAAGGTCAGAGATAAATAATTCTACCTGTTGAAAAGTCAGATTAAAGAAATAAAAAATTTTAAGCTGGAAGAGAATTGAAAAATTTGTCTGTTCCTTGTTCTATTTCCAGTGCAAATAATTTTTAACAAATATTTATCAAAGGAATGAATATGTGAACTAACCATCCTATTTTTTCCTATTTTACAGATGGGAAGTCTGAAGTCAAAAAGATGAATTATATGTCTACAGTTTCACAATAAATTGTGGGAACTAGAATTCTTAACCAGGATTCTCAAACCTTGTTCTCAAAACTGTTGTAAAAATGCAGGCTCTGACTCAGTAATTCTGGGATAGGGCTCTAAATTATGCATTTCTAATAAAGCCCTGAGATGGGGCAATATTGTTTGTTCAGGGACCATACTTTGAATAGCAAAGGTTTTTTTTGTTTTTGTTTTTGTTTTTTTTGAATAGCAAAGTTCTAAACCAGACATTTCAGACTTTTCTAAAGTATTTCCATGTTAAAACATACATGATTGGATTTTCCTATGGTAGCAACTATTTTGTTTTATTCATTAATTTAAAAATTGGATTGTGCTACAGTTGGTCCTTGTTACATTACAAATGAGTGTTTAGATACTGTATACTAAACAAAGTGACTTATCTAGTTGCTAAGAAGCAATGTTAAAAGGAGAGTTCTCAATCTGCTACCATTTATGAAATTATAATTTCTTTCATATGCAACAAAACTTCAGGTGATTCAGTTCTCTCTAGGCTGACAGTCCTAGAGGAAATATGTTTATTTTCTTTCTTTTTTTTTTTTTTTTTGGTACTGGGGATTGAACTCGGGACCTTGTGCTTGCAAGG